TCAAGAAACGATCCAGCCTTAAAAAAGTGACTGGGTCCGTACCATTTGACCATGTATAGGCTGCGCCTTCCATTGGTAAATCAATGAGAAGATGCTCGTCAATGAAATCAGAAAAGACCTACTACCTCCTGTGGACCTCTCTAATGGGAGTCTAACAGAATTGAAATCCCCAACCAAGCACCAAGGAAGAGACCACATTTCTTGAGCATGGTTAAGCTCCTCCCAGAAAAAAGGCCGATCAATATCAACAATTGGTCCATAGACCCCAGTGAAAACCCAACTGAAATTGTCCTCTTCCAATTTGAACTTGCAAGACACTGAGAATCTCCCCACCCACACATCCAACCAAGACACCCATCTACAATCCCACATAACTAAGATACTGCCTGAAGTACCTGTAGCATTCAAGACCTCCCATTCTACAAACCTTCCTCCCCACAAGCTCCTAACCACCCCATCCATAATGGATGCCAACTTTGTTTTTTGCAAACAAACAACTTGGGCCCCCCACTTCCTCAAAGCAACCTTTACCACCCTCCTTTTATTCGGGTCGTTGAGACCACGAACATTCTAAGAAATAGTTCGTAGTTTCATTAAAAACTAGATAAGATAATCTCTCCTCCTCCTTTCTTCGTGCTCCGACTCCTAGTCCTTCCCCTCTCCTTCACCACCCCTTTCTTTCCTTCATAATTGACTTCAGAGATAAGATTCTTGATCTCCTGTGCCCCTTTCCAGGATGATAAAGGCTTCGGGTTCACTACCTCTTCAGTCATAGCTACCTCTCTACCTTCGACTATTGCTTGAAGAATGGAAAGTGTCTGGTTATTGTTCCCCTCTGAAGAAACACCTTGCAACTCATTAGCAGCTCCTATGTTTTCAATCATCCAGTCCTTACCCAAATCAACATTTGTTACTGAACAACCAGATCTCTCAATTGCCAAAGGTTCCTCCTCTATCACTTCAGAGAAATCATTCTCCATCCAAGGTACAAACTCGTTGGAACAAACAAACTTCTTGGATAGAAACCAAATCAGTAGCCACATCCTCATCACAATCCCTTCCAAAATCAAAAGGCTCTAAAAACGAGTCAGAATCAGTACAGTCTCCCAGTCCATTGCTCAAGAAACTAACCAATTTATTCTCCTCTTCCCCATCAGACGATATGCAATTAAAACCTTTTAAAGCAACATAAAGGCAAAGTTCTTTGAGCAAAGCCATGGTTGACTCATTAGACAGCTGAAAGTGAAGGTTTCTCCCAACTCGGACCAAGACCCCATCCGATGAGTCCTGAACTTCACAATTGAGTGAATCATCTTGGCCTAAAGTGACAATTTCGCTGGCAATCTTCTCTGTAACCAGCCCATACTCTTGTGTAGGTGCTGAGGGCACAACAGACATAACACAACTCTTCTCCATTGACATCTCAACATCGCCCCTCACCTCTCCAGAAAGGGAGGGAGAAGAAGGTGCTTTAAGGGAGCTCTGAGAATGAGAAACAGAGGACATATTTGGGTCAGTGGAATTCCATTTCTGCTTATCTTTCCTCGACCATCTATAAACATTGTTGCTTCTGTGAGAATCCCGAGATGAAAGTCTAGAGCTGCTTCCCATTATCCAAGTTGTAGCTGGAGGGGGCTTGAGTGAAGAATCAGCGCAACACTATAGATGACGAAAGCCTTTCTTGTCTGTTCCCACACCAGCCTCATCTTCACTTAATTTCATCCATCTCCTCTTCTCTGGTGAGTTCTAAAAATTTACAGAGTGAGCATGAGGAAGACGACCCGATATATGATCAATAATTGGTTCGGTGGCTGGACTGGGTTTTGTATTAAGAAAAGAAACTAACTTTTGATTATTGGGCCCCAATGAACCATTCTTTTTAAGTCTTCAAATGGCCCAATGCGTAACTTAGCTTTGTTTCGTCTGGACTTGGGCAAATGTGGGTTGGGCTTATCATTGAGGAAAGAAATGGATAGCTTATTGTTGGGCCTCCACATAACATTCTTTTTAAGTGTAGCTTGTTGTCCATGAGAACCTAACGGCCCATTGTTCAGCTCAAAAAAAAGAGGCCCATACTTACGCCTATCTGAGTCCGCTGCATGAAAGGCCCTCGTGACGCCACGTGGTTGTCCACATGGTTGATTACCATCAAGGCGATCAAATCGAGGATTTGAAAAGCGTTGATGACGGGCGTTATGCGTATGCCTCGGATATCTATCTTCCCCACTCACTGGCGGCACGTTAGCGAACGCTCTTTGCTTTCCTTGAGAACTCAGTTGAGTCTGCAAATGCCGATGACGCCCACCGTTGCATTCTCCATCAGACGGAAGGGGAGAAGCCTCACCAAACCCATAATAGGATTTTGGAAGGATGCATGGTGAGGTTTCCTCAATCAAACTGATCTTGAAGGTTACTCGTTGGTCTTCAACAAAAACAAACTTCGGCACCACAGCTCCGGCGGAAACAAGAAGGAGAACTCGTTCGCCTCTCGCTTGATCATCCGCTTCCACTCCTCTAAACCCACCACAGAGGTCTCCGATGGCTTCAAACAGTTTGTGGCACCAAAGATGGAGGGGCAAGCCGAACAACACCACCCTTCGTAACCTGTTGCGATCAACCACAACTGAGCAACCCACCGCAAAATCCCACTTGTCGATGTGTAAGGAAGCTTCACCCCATCTCCTCCTCCCCACATTCAAACCCCTGCAAGCTTCGACCTCCAATGGTAGACGGAACAGGAAAAGGCCGTCAGGTAGGGTTGAAACTTTTACTCCACACGAGATCTACCAAGATTTCGTCACCCACTCCTCGATCCTTTTAGTGCACCCCACATCACGATCAAAACGACCAACCAGAGAAGATTTCAATACGGATTCACGTTCTGCAATGCTCTGATGATCAACTCTAAGGACCACATCTCTATCAATTGAACAGCTTCTGATCTTCCCGTGGAGATTGAGACATGGTAGGGTCGCTACTTTGAGATACGAACGTAGCATGATCTGTCGCAACCAAAGATCCAACACCAGAAAAGAAAAAAAAAAAAAGAGAACGATAGACACCGGAGTAGAAGACTCCGGCGTCAAAAAAGAAAAGAAAAGTTGAGAGAAAAGTCAAACATCAGTCAACCCTTACCTGAAGCTTGGCATATGCGTTTTTTTTTTTTTTTGTATGTGCTGCACACTTTTATGTGATGTTTAATTGACCGGAACAAAAAGTTTCTATTCTATTGTACGCTGAGGCTGCTTAAAGTTGTCTTGAACCCTGTATGCACATATGCATTCAACCATTTTTTCCAGTTACTATGGATAATTTGCAAAATCTCCATAAAGTATTCAGAGAAATATATTTAGCTTGGGTACTGCAAATTTTTTTTTATTTTATTTTAGATGGATTGATAGAAGTCATACCTCCAGAAATTCTGCCCGGGGGTTTAGGAGGGGGTGCGGGATTGTTTATTCTGGAGGATAAAGAAATGTAATTTCTATTTTTATTTTGTCTAGTATTTTGTGTTTGTTGCAAAAATTTGCATATTTAAGTAAAATCAGATGTTGAAATGTCTATTTTGTTACACCAATTTCTGATCTCATAAGAAGTTGATGAACTAAATATGATTTATAAGTTTCTTTTAGTGCCTCGGGCTAAAAGTTAGTTTTTTGAAATTGCTCAATTTTTTTAGACTTTTAGTTAATAATGAGTTTGTCATACTTCTATTGGGAAAATTTGATGTTGTTAATCTTTTGGGAAAAAAGGCTTAGGAAAAAAGCAAAACAATTCTATGGAGAAGAGAAGAAAGATCTCGCTGTTGTGTTGTGGTGTTCCTAAACAACAATGAAAAATTATGAGTTCTCTAAGTAGTTGTAAACAATCATATATTCATGGTAGTATGAAGGCTGGGGTGATTGGTTGAAATTGCTCAATTTTTTTATACTTTTAGTTAATAATGAGTTTGTCATACTTCTATTGGGAAAATGTGATGTTAATCTTTTGGGAAAAAAAGCTTAGGAAAAAAGCGAAACAATTCTATGGAGAATAGAAGAAAGATCTCGCTGTTGTGTTGTGATGTTCCTAAACAACAATGAAAAATTATGAGTTCTCTAAGTAGTTATAAACAATCATATATTCATAGTAGAATGAAGGCTGGGGTGATGGTAGAAACGTCAAAAGTTTGACAAGTGGTATATTTCAGAAATATAGAGTTCCTACACAAGGTTCAATATAAAAATAGTAAAGGTGATTGTGGGGTCCATCATGAGTATATGAATTGCTTAACTTTGTCTTATCTGGGATTAGAAAAAAAGACAATAGATACCAACGGGTCAGTGGCCTAGCGGTATTAGGCTCCTAATTCCTAAGGGCGGTCAGGGGTTCAAGCCTCAGTGGAGACGTGTGTGTGAGTACCAACTAGGAAAGAAAGAAAGAAAGACAATAGATGGGGTCTTTTCTTTTGGCTTGTGTGTGTGTGTGTTTTTTGGTTGGTTTGGGGGTGGGGATGATGCATAATAATTCAGGGGTCTAGGTGGCCCCGTTGTATCTGCCATCAATTTCAAGGTTCTTAGAAATTTCTTTGATTTCAAAGCATACTGGTGTTTTTGGCATTTTTATTTTATTTTTATTTTTATTTTTTTCATGTGGTTTGTATCAATTTTTTTCTTCTTTTTCTTTTTTGACAAACTTTAAGTGAAGTACTGTGATTGTTGGATTTGATATCGACTTTAGTAGTACAAAAGTTACTGAAGAAGTTGAATAAATATTGTGACTAATTCTAATAATAATAAAAAATAAATAAACTTGTATTGACTGATAACCATTCATGTGCTGTAGCATGCTGTATGGGATCTCTTTACTGGAAATGATGAACTACATTTCTTTGTTGCATGTGCATATCCTTAATGGTAGAAAGTAAAAAATAATCATCTTTTCTTTAATTGTTGTTGAGAATTATTGCAACATTTATTGCCTAAGGCATTTACGGAATGTTTTCATGCATGGTACTGCAGATAAATATGTATCATATATTGCACCTCGTTCTGGAGCTGACAAAGATTTTGATAAGCCTTCTCTTGGAAATGAAAATGGATTTTTATGGGATATAATTGGTCCTGGATCAGATGACATGCTCGTGGAAGATGGGTTGCCCAAAGAAAGCACTTCTGAGGTGGGGAATCAGGATGCTGCTGCTCATGTTTGATTTGATTTCTTTTGTTTGAAAACATAGGTGATGCTTGGATAAAGGGTATGTGGGCAAGCACTTTCCAGAATACAGGTTGTGGTTATCTGGATAGAAAACCACACCTTTTTTGGGTATTGCATCACATCAAGATGTGATGGCAAAACAGGGAAAGGTGGTGTGAGCTGGCTTCATGTTCACTACTGCTGCCTTGACCGTGCTTATAGTTCACATCTTAAAGGTAATGATTTGGTGCTACATCGCCTGTTTCTACCCTATATCCAAGTATTCCTGTGTGGTGAACTTCTTTATTTCTCTATTTTCTGTTCTGTTGAATTGATTAACCATCTGTCATGTGTCGTTCCTTGGGATGATATGAAATTAGTTTACCCTTCATGCTGTTGGTGACATTTACCTATTCGCCACTCTACATTTTTTTATTCTTCTTTTTAATTTTTATTTTTTTTTGGATAGGTAAGTCACATGCACGAACACATTATTGCCCCATTGGGGATTCGAACCCTCAACCTTCCATTTGGAAGAAGGATGGGATGCCACTTAGGCTAAGCCCTTGGTGTCCTCCTTTTTGTCATAGGCAAGCAATAACCTTATAGTTGAGTTTCTTGCTGAATTTTCAACTGCGCTTAAGAGTATTTTTTCTTGATTTTCAGTGAGCTGAGTTTGGTATAGTTGGAAATTTTGTAATCTGGTGAAACCTTCTTTTCTCCTTGTGGAACAAAACTTTATAAACCTTGAATGACTATTGTTTCTTTTAGTGTGTACATTTTGTTGATTGATGTGTTTTTGCCATGCGCCTCCCCACTTGATACAGAAAGAAATCAAGAGATAGTTCCACGCAATATATGATTTTTTTCCTCGGACAAACTGGATTTAATCCCTATTATTTATTAAAAATGCTTTACAGGTTACCGATGCAGCACTTAGCACTACTTCCTCCTGTGTGGTAAATCAGCAAGTGGAAAAATGTGGTGATTCTTCCAGGTAAAATATGATAAACGCTTGATCTTGTGCTCATCTTTGGTTTTACCATTGCCAGTGAAAGGGTAATTTTTTTGGTTCTTTTGTGGGATTTAGTTGTTTTGTGGAGGGTGGGATTTAGTTGTTTTTGTGGTATTTCTCTTTCAGAATATCTGACTTCAGGTGCAGGCGTTTCTCTTGTTATAATAACACAGATCCGAGTGCACACACACCTTTCAAATAGTGTGAATGTTAGTTCTATACCTGGTTACCTCAAATAACAGGGACCAATACTGGATAGGCCCTAACTCTTGTAAGAATAGACTAATGGGGATATTTATGCAGCTAACCTTTGGACCACAATTGTCTATTGATTTCTTAGCTAACACTTCGGTTCGTTTCTTTGACAACATCAAATTGAACAACCATTTTCTGATTTCTCTGTTTGCATGAACTGTTCATGTACAACTTGGGATTGCATCAACAATAGGATCTTTTAGTTTACATATAAAATGCACTTTTTGTTTGTGAAGCTTGTTTATTAAATGGGGTGAACTGTAGAAGCAAGCTTGAGTTCGATTGAGTGGGCTCGTGAACAAATGTAAGTCCGACGAAGGACCTAAGGTAAGCACTTTATGCAAAATTTAGAAAAGTCACAGGCCTTCGTAAACAGGATCATTGCTCTAAGAACAGTCACCTAGTGCAAAATAATGTCAAAGAGTAGGTTTGTTTCTAATCGTTTCCCTTTGAGCATCTCGTGTGGGCGGAATATACTTTGGGTTATATAATTTGACTATCGATTGTCACTATACTTGACACACATTCCCTTTCTTTACAACAACTATGCCATTGAAGGAACTATGCTATTTCTTATTACATCCGACTCAAACAAGCCTTGGCGAGCTACTCTCGTTGCTAAGCTTATATAAAATGATATTGTTACTTCAGTTCCTTCTAAATACCTCCCAAGGAAAATCTTCAATAGGATCTGAAATTGATGGATTATCACAAGCTTATTCATTTATTATGCACTCTTTGAGTGAGAATTCATTTTCTGGTCATTTTGGATTAATTGTTTTAGTTGGTCTCATAAGATCCTTCAGATGAGTGTCCTTGGCCGTTTCAAGGGGACTCTTTATTAAGTACTATATTTATTAGTTATATTTACAGATAGATTTTTCCTTGGCGGGAAACTGGAGCTGGGTAAAGAAATCTGAAATTTTGTGTGGACTTGCTAATTATGGTGATTCTGGAAGCCCTAGATGCACAATTGCAAAGTCAAGTTATAATAAGGGTTTTTAATGGATAGATTTTGCTTTACATTGCTTGGTGGAGTGGTAAAAGCTCTCGGCATTAAGCATAAAAAAGACAACTTGTCTTTACACAATTTGCCCCTACCAAGCCTTGATTGACGTGACTGTAACGGAGTAACCGTTTTTTTAGAAGTTCTACTTAGAAAATTCTAGGCCCTAGATTTTTTGTTTTAAGGTGTGGAGATGGAATGGGTTGTATTAAGTGTAATATGGTTTTATTGTTATTTTTGTTGGCTGTTGAATGGAATGGAATGATAGGCATTCCGAAGGTTGAGCGGCTTGCATGAGCTGCACTGGATGATATCATTGCAAATAAATATTCGAAGGACCTGTTATCAAAATCTAGGAAACAATTAACCATAACCTCGGGAAGTTTCATTATGAAGGACCTATGCATGTGGGTGTGCCTGCAATGTCTCATAACACAGAGAGAACGGTTGTTATATCTCATATGCTTCAGCTACATCTTAAAGACCCTTTTTCATTCAGCATTTTATTCCACAATCTGGTGATTAAACTAACTTCCTAGTCATACATTTATTTTGTGATGTAGTTGTTGTGCATTTCATTGTTCCTTCTTGTACCCTTCTAATAATATATAATAAATAGCTCCTGAGAATACAGAATTGATGAACTTCAATGTCTTTTTTTCAGATAAAGATGTGTATTCATTATTTTGGTTGTTTCTGTGATATTTGTTAGGTTATCACAATCCCAATCCAAATAGAGTGAACGGTAAAAAGAATATTAATGCGTATGCACTGCCATTTTTTCCTGCAGCCAAAGAACTGGCATGCTGTCTCATGCAGGCAGTGAGATTGGGGGAAAGGTGAAGATTTAACCTTTTGAGACCGAGAGCTCTAAAAAGTCCAGTTGCCATATGAATTGAAATTCTCTCTCTCCTCGTCGAGGTTAGGTGTACCTGCTGAGGTGAAAAAGATATTTCATAATTCAGTTTCTCTTTTGATAACATGGGCTATTTTTTCTTGCCCTTCAAATTTTGTTGTACATACATCTTCCATTGTCTCATTTTTCATTTATTAGCAATTTCTGTAGTGGCCGTAAAGTTCATATTCTTACCCTTATAAAGTTGAAATTTAGTTACTGTAATTGGCTAGTTATACCATCTTTAGTTGGATAACTTTGGTATCCGGTGATGTTATGATGATATACTAGGCTCTAGTAACGGTTAGTGTTTTGTTTATGGTGGTATTACGATTTCTGTTTGGTTTATAGTGGTGTGTTATGATAATACTCGAATTGGCTCCTGTGATGATTTCCTCCATGTTTATTTTTTATTCTGGTGGTGAATTTCACCACTATCAATGGTCAAGTTTCACAAATAAGCAATTATAGGTGAAATTTTACCACTATAGTAGTGAAATTCATCATTGATGGTGGTGAATGGGGATGGGCAAAACACCCCGCCTCAGCCCCTTTAGAAAGTTTATGGAGGTGGTCAAAGGTTTTGGGGGCAGAAATGGGTTGGGATTGAAAACTCGGTTGCCGGGGCGGGATGGGGCAGCACGTTTATAGTGATAAATTATAATTTTGCTCATATAATTTTTCATATTAAAAATCATTTAAGCATATCAAGTGAATTCTAGGTTATTCTTTAGACATTCGTAGAGGCAAAGTAAGTGTAAGAATTTCTTGTCTAGGTAAAAAGGAAAAGATAAAAGAGGAGGTTTCAATTGAGAATTTAAAACTTCTTATTATTACCATGGTTAAAAATATTCGTTACATTTGTAATTGAATTACAAAATTACTCTCCTCATGTCACTCCCGCCAAACGCTGGGTGAGGATGGGATTAGGTTCCCAACCCCAAACCCTTTGCCATCCATAGTGATGAAACGGAAATTCGATCTAATTAAGTATAGTTTTGTCAACATATCCATCCACTTCAATGTTTGAGATGAGAGTCAATGACTCATAGGAAAACTTTTAGAAAATTTCCAGTGTTATTGTACTTGGGAACAGAGTTTTAGGGTACTGGATACCAACCCTAGGCCTTGACGAAGAACTTGTTCACTTAAAATAGAATTTTTGTACTACTCCTGGCGTACGCCATGGATTTGGAATCTCTCTTGTTACGGGGTCAATGTAAAGATTTCAGTTGAACGAGGACATTGGTGATAGAGCGTCTCTCTTTGATTGTGTGTGAATATTAATTACGGCAAAAGGATGCTTTTCCAATACTAAGAAGTTGCACATGAGAGTTGTCGGACAGAAGTTGACCAACCACCGCTATTTTTCTCTTATGGTCTCATCATGGTTTTATCTTCCTCGGCTTCTCATTTTTGTTTCTTCAAACTGTTACGCCCACATATATAAAGAACTAGCATTCTATGTAAGAGCGAGTCATGACGAGGGCACCCTCATAACCGATGGATATGTGGCATTGCACATATGACATCATCAACATATCACACACACACACATATTTATATATATATATATTATTGAATTATAATATGAACTCTACAGTGAATAACTGGAAATTGGTATATGTTTAGAAACTCTAATAACAATATAGCACTTTGAGAATCATTCAAAGAATGCACACTAAATTTTCTACTTATACAAAGATTAAAGAGGACACAGGCAATGCAAACCGAAGGAAAAGAAAATCACCACAAAACAAGAAATATCATAAACACTACCGCAGACTTCGTAATCTGAAAGTATAACAAAGCTAGGCAATATCTGCCATATCATGGTACAAAACTAAGACCAACGATGAAGATTATGGATTCACAATGCTCTCACCAAGATAGCCTCTCCTTTCCTGATCACAGGGTACGTAAAAATTTGGCCAATGAAGCAGCAAGCTCTTAGGTTTGAACTTGAAAAGAGATTTTCTCAGATGCAGTGCTGTTAGATTGATGCTAAAGGAGGCCCAAATTGGAAAGAAATTTCTGCAAAGTTCTACGACCCCATTGAATGTCATTCTCCATAACGTCATTTACAACTTGCTTGGAGTTGGGCTGGTCGTGTTCTTTGGCTAATCGTGGCTTCCCTTGTTCATTGACATTAAGTTCTTCATGATCACCATGCATCATCTCAGTGGTTTCTTGCAGACGTGATGAGTCTTTGTCAAATTCCTCCTTCAAATCTAACTGGATGTTGTTAGGTTACAATAATTGACGAGAGAGAGGATATCAAAGAGCTCACATATGTAACACAGTATAACACCACAATTCTATATATGGGCAACTGTATATTAGACAATCCCTTTAAATAATTAGTCTACATTACATTGGCCTTTTTCATTTCATAAAGCAAAAACGCAGAATGGACAATTTTGGCACAAGTAGCAAGTGAATATTCAAGCTCTTCATGAGGTACGAATATATGCAGTAGCTGGGTGAATATTCGAGCTCATGTTCATAATGTGAGAATATATAAGTAATACTGAGAAGAATTAGCTTTTTACATCCATAAGGGTTGTATAAGTTGTCATTCAGATTCTGGGCTGAATTGAATGCTTAAGTTAATCTGAGAAAGAAAACATATCCTGTTTCTCAGTAAGGTATATCATAAGTTCAGTTGCATGTTCATCGATCTCCTGTGAAGATGGTTCGACTTTTCATTTCATTGCTTGTAAAATTTATCAGACACCGTCCTTTTCAATACCCTCATGATATTGTTCATCTTAAAGACAATGCAGTAGATCAGTGTTAATTAAGGCAAATCTAGTCCCAGAATGATCTTTTTTATTGGAGACGTAAATCTCAAGACGACACAATTTAAAACTAAACGTGCTTCCATGGCATCAGATTCCTAATCTTAACAAGTCCCATTTGGTGTATATGGAACTAAATATCATTTCTTGCCAAGGTTAAAAAATAAATTGCAAAAGAACAGAAAGAATTCATACATGCTAAGCATTTACCTTTGGCACATTGTGCTCCTCAGCTTTGTCAGATCTAAATGAGGAATCAGAGGCGATGTTCTTCTCCGCTTCAGTTGGCATCGCTTCTTCAATATCACCTGTTGGCAATGTAGTCAAGCCCGGTACCAGAACAGGACTTCCATCAAAGGACACCAAATTTCCTTCGTCTTTTATGCTCCCAATATCCTCAACAGTCACAGCTCGGCCATTATTTCCAAGAATATTTTCTATATTCACCTGGTGGTCTTCTTTCGGCTCAGTAATATTTTCTGCTACAATAGCCATCGGTTTCTCTGCCAATGTATTTCCCATTGGATTTTTAATGCCAGAAGTGGTTGATTCCTTGTTCAGCTTTTCTATATTCACCTGGTGGTTTTCTTTCGGCTCAGTAATATTTTCTGCTACAATGGCCATAGGTTTCTCTGCCAATGTATTTCCCATTGGATTTGTAATGCCAGAAGTGGTTGATTCCTTGTTCAGCTTTTCTATATTCACCTGGTGGTTTTTTTTCGGCTCAGTAATATTTTCTGCTACAACAGCCATAGGTTTCTCTGCCAATGTATTTCCCATTGGATTTGTAATGCCAGAAGTGGTTGATTCCTTGTTCAGCTTTTCTATATTCACCTGGTGGTTTTCTTTCGGCTCAGTAATATTTTCTGCTACAATAGCCATAGGTTTCTCTGCTAATGTATTTCCCATTGGATTTGTAATGCCAGAAGTGGTTGATTCCTTGTTCAGCTTTTCTGAATTAATTGTAGATTCCTCATTTTGAATTGATGTCAGCCCTTCCTCTACAATTTTCTGCAGTTCAGCGTCATCCCAATCTTCAGAAACAGCGATTTTGTTTTCCGATTCCCATGTTTGAAGGATTCTATTGGGGTCTGGCTGCCATGAGATGCTTCCAGATATTCCTTTTAGTATGAACTTGTAGTGGATTGATTTTCCAATGGGTATGTCCTGTTCAAAACATATCAACATATTATATACCACATCGAAAGTTTTGCTTTCAACGTATGAACTTTTATCATTCTTTCATATATGATCTCTTCCTCACCAGTTCAACAGTCCATACATGTCCATCGGACCACTCCAATGGTACTGCACGTGCAGGATCCCACGAGCCGAAGACAGGATCATCACCTATTATGTAAAATTGCTCCCCGAACGAGCACTCTTTCTGTAATTGGAATTTGACAGGAACAGTTTTTGATTGATCTGCACATACACATTATATTGTAATAACAAGGGCCAAAAAGAAAAACTCTTTAACAATGGTAAGAATTCACTTGTACCCTGTATTTGAGTTTCTTCATTTTGAGTTTCTTCATTCTGCAAGTGTGTCTGCATCAATGAGTGTTATACAAAATTAATTTTGTATATATTAATCAAAAACCGTTTTGTGTAGATGTCATATTCATCTGGCTGTAAATTTTGTTCCTTGTTGATAAAAGCAAGTTCTATCGAATGAACAAAACACACTTGGTAATACAGACAACTAGTAGTATCCAAACATCAAAACACCACCTAACTTCAAAATACTCTGTTTTCTTGGCAATCAAACAAGACCACCACCACAAAATTAAGCAAAAAAAATTTCAACATAAAATCAGGTGAAACACGTACTTGTTTATATATACATACATATAATAAATTAAGGTCATGACTCATGAAAGCTCAATTGAACTTGTTATGAATTTATCTTACTAACATATCAAATTCAAAGCATGAAATATTAATCTATAGTGTGATTTGAGATGAGGCAACCATCAACCTTCAAACCAATCCGACATGCCTCACAAGCACACAAGAGACTGTCAATCCAATATATACCTCTTCAAAAAGTTATTTTTACAAAATATTGCAAAGATACAATACACACAAATACTTATTTCGATGAGAAATAGAAATTTGATCCTCAACATATAATATTATATATATAATACATCTAAATAGTGTATATATATATACACACACATACACAACTATTTGTGTATGTGTGTGTATATATAGATATGTGAGAGAGACAGACCTGAGGGAGAGAGACCTGAGGCTCCGATGATGAGACAGACGATGCAGAAATAGAGTAAATCCTCTTGTGTTGCAGAGAAATTGAATGGGATAAACCGATTTGAACAAGTTCCGGGAATCGTACGGAACAAATTGGAGGTCTGCTAAGAACAATATCTCTGGAAGACGAAAAACATGTGTCTGTGTACTTGACGAAAATCGCCTTCCAAGACGATCTCGCTAGGGTTTCCATTACTCTCTCACTATCACTTACTCACTGCTCAGCTTTTTCTATCATTTAATGATGATGCTGATTGAGTATTTCTGTGTCTGAAAGAGAGTGAGAAACGGAATGATGATTCTAGAGCTAAATAATTATAGGCTGGTCTAATTTATTGGGGGTTAGCTCGGTTTCGGGGTAAAATGTCTTTTTAGGAATTTTTTTTTTTTTTTTCTTTATAAAATATATATATATATTTTTTTTTCTTGAAAATTATTTCTAAATATGTACTTATTTGATAAATAACGAACATTTTCAAGTATTAACCTTGTCATTCTTCGTAAAATTCAAATTTCATTCTCTGCTTTCTATGTATTGTAACTGGTACTTATTTAAAAAAATACTAATTGTTACTAAAATTATCACACTTAAAACATTTAACAAATTATTTCAAATTGCTTTTAGTAACAAAGTACATACAACATGATAAAATACATTGAGTACTTTTCATGAATTGTGAATAACAAAATGATTTATTTTCATTATATTTAAATTTTTCGCTTCACATATCTTTAAAAAAGTCTCAAAAAAAAAAAAAAACTCTATAAAATTGAAATGATTCTATCAAAAACAAGTGCATTAAATTATTTTAATGTATAATTTTTTTTTCACCAAGAACGTTTAATAAAATTCTTTGACTATTTAATCCTGAATTTAGAGTATCTTACTTTCACATAATTCACAGAGTTCAACAAATAATTAATATTTCACGATTAAGGGTATTATGTTAAATTGAAATAAAACTTTTTTTTCTTAAATTATTTCTGTTCAAATTTAATTTTTGGCACAATTGTTTAGAAAAAATTAATTAAACAACATGATATATGAAAAAGGTAAAATTGTGATAGATAATTTTATTGAAAATATTTATAATGGTGTGTGTATTGTGGAGGCGATACATGTGTTCGAAAAAAGAAAAAAAAAAAATTCTTTCAATTATATAATAAAATATTTATCTAATTAATTTTAAAATGTTTATTAGAATTTTAAAAAATTCAAAATTCTTTGACGGATTATTTCTTTTTAGGGTATAAGTTGATTGGAAGGGGGAAGTTTTGGAGGATCACCATCACGTGGCTGATCACGTGGACCTGAGTATCTCAAGGAAATGTGAAGTTTGAGCTTTTCAATGTGAAAAATTTACTGTAAAAGAGATTAAAATTAATGTCATATGTCGGCTGTCACGTGTCACATTCCCCACCGTCCATTTATTTGAGTGGGATGGACCCGGATAATGTGGGGTCTCTTTTGCATCTAGTGTGAGAATAGTACGTGTCTTCAGTTATATTCACAACTCTTTCGCTCAAATACCAAACAAACAAATTTGATATTATTCAAAGTTAACTTTCGTCCACATGCACATCTCACTAATTTTATACCATATAAAATGACAAAATTGTTTTTGAAAAACGATGGACCATCACTTTTTGAAATAAATATAGAATAATAGTGTTTTTAAAATAATAATGTCTTTATTTATTTATTTTTACAAAGCAAGTAAAGTGGATGGAAAGAAAAATGGACTCTTAATGTCATGTCAAAAACCAAACATTATACAGTTTTTTATTTTTTTTTAGTACAAAATAAATAAATAAATAAATCATGTCCAAAAATCAATAATTATCATCTCAAGTTTTCTCATAATTATAAGAATTTCTCTTATTTCTTAAAAAAATAACACTAACCTCTCTTTATGTTCATGGATTCTCTGTGAGAGTCATTACAAAAATATGCATACATCATTAAAATTTATTTTTATCAAAGTACTGGTTTGGCCTGAAGAAGCATCTTGTCAATTTTTAAAAATAAAATCAAAACTGAGGGTAAAATAGTAAAATAATATGCCCGCTAATTTTTTCCTTAATAATAATTAAAAAAAGAAAAAAATGAAGCGATGGACCTGGATTGGTTATTGCGCAGATTATGGGTCAGCTAAACCCTGGTCAGGGTTGGATGGGCGTAAAGTGGAAGATGGACCAATGGCTCAATGACAAAAAGCTCTCTAGAGGTATTTTAGTTTAGTGGGACTAATGGGCCTATTTTTTCAACTCATAATGTGATGATGATCATGGAACGTGAAATCATTTCAACCAATGAACCCTATGGTTACTTAAAAAGAATGAAATTAATGCCCCATTATGTCATCCATTTATGAGTAAAGGACATTATATATATATATATATATATGGGTCAATAAGATTCTACTTGAATTCGGATACCTTAACTTAACAGTAGTTTAATATGAATATGAATTCAGATTTATATTCATCTATTAATCCTTTTATGACTATTCCCAAGTCATGCAACCTTGCCTTGAGAAAATTCTGTGGGATTTTATTCTCAAACTGGTTTCAATTTAAGCAAAGCTTAAGTGATGTTGTAAATTGATTGAGCTTATATTAATTAGTGAAAGAGGGGTAAAAGTAGGAGTGATAAATGGGCGAGTTGGGTTGAATTTGGGTTAAGTTAAAAATGGGCGGGTCAATATGGGTCAAGATTCATATTTAATTCATTCAGAACGGGTTAAAAATGGACAGGTTAAAAATAGATAGGGTCAACCCGTTATGACCCGTGCATTCATTAATTAATTATTTTTTATTTTTAAATTTTTTGAAACTAATTTAAAGGAAAGATATGTTCATAATATTAGAAAAAATCTCAATTTTTATTACTACTTAAAATTTTCAATACTTAAAACTCAATTTCTAAAATTGAATGGATTTGAGGCTTAAAAAAAATGATGATTATTAAACTAGATTAGGATATCCAAGGATCTACAAATAAAAATATAAAAAGATATGTTTTACGGAGTATTAGATTTTTTTAATTATTTTTTGTTAAGGGATTTTATAGGAATACAAACATCTTTTTTCACCTATTTGGCTATTTTTTTGGAATACAAAAATCCTCACATATAGAGTTCCCAAATAAACATTAATCTTCTGAAATTTGAATATAAATTTAAGCTATGGAAAAACAGTTCTGTTTCAATTTAATAGTATAATTACGACAATTTAATTTAATAGTACAGTAAAAGACAATTTAGCTTCATTGCTAGAAAACGCGTAGCGACCATTCGACCTCATTCGATGAATTTTTTTTTTTTGATCTTAGACTTAATTTAAAGTACATCTTGCTGTAAAACTCATGTGAGGTCACTACTATTTGAAAGCAAAATTCCTTTTACCGGAGAAACGTGAAACTGCTGCTGCAAAAATGGAAACCTCACGGCGGAGCCAAATCGAGCTACGCCTCCGGCGCCGTGAGAGAGATTGAGATCCAACGGCGACGAATCAACCATCAGCGCCGGTGAAAATCCTGACGACTCCACGATACTACTCTGATCCGGACTCTGATTACAACTACTCTTCTTGATCATCATTACATCTATCTTCTCACCACCACCGTTAACGTTCCTCCTCCGGCACCGGGAAATTAGTCCTGGCTTTGTTGCCTCGAAACTTCCTCCCGGCGGTGTCGTACGCGCTCGCCGCCTCCTCCGCCATGTCGAACGTCCCCAACCACACACGACTCTTCTTCCCCGGAACTCAACTCTCGACGGCGTATCTGCCCCACGGCCTCTTCCGTACACCCCTGAAATGCACCTCCTTGGCGTTGCCGGTTAAATTTGTCCAAAAAAATCTAATTTTTTAATTTTTTTTAAAAAAAATTTTAATTATTTTTTTATTTTTAAATTATTTTTTTTGGAAAGTTTTAAATTTTTTTTATTTTTTAATTATTTTTTATTTTTAAAATTTAGTTTAAAATTTTTTAATTATTTAATTTATTATGTGATGGGTGAAATATGGGTTGAATAACCATATTCAACCCATCTTGATCCTCAAATTAAGTGGTTAAAAATTATCTAACCTATCTTGACCCTCAAACCAATATGGTTAATCCATAACCATTAAAAGGCGAACTGATATAGACGGATTAATGATTCATGACCCATTTTGACACTCTAGGTAAAAGTATCATTCAGCATTGAACACACGCTCACAGAAAGATTTGACAAAAAATACCTTATATAACTTATTGGAGCACACACCTCTGCCTTTTGCATGCACTATTAGTGGTACTTAATGAAACTGTATATAGTGTTTGCCTTAGGGGTTGACAAATGGGAGGGTTCACAAATAGGTCAAGATTCATATTCAATTCGTTTAAAAAGGATTAAAAATGGACGGGTTAAAAATGTATAAGGATTAAAAATGGACGGGTTAAAAATGTATAGAGTCAATCCATTATGACTTGTGAATCAATTAATTATTATTTTTTAACTATTTTTTAATAATTATTATTTTTTAATTTTTAAAATTTTTTTACTTATTTTTTTAATTTTTAATTATTTTATATTTTTTAATTTTTTTGATTATGTTTTTCTTTTTAAATTTTTTTTTTCCGAAAGGTTTTAAAATTTCATTTAATAACAAATAAAAAAACAATCTCAAACTCAAATCGTTTGAGAGAGAGAGAAGTGAAAGTAAGAGACGAAATTCCTAGAGAGAGAAACTTAGGGAGGGGGATTAATTGGTGATAGACAAATTTAGAGAAAGAGGATCGTGAATGAGAGAATTTGAGAGGGAGAGAAATGAGTTGAGTACAATATAGAATATGTGTGTTTATTATGTGATGGGTGAAATATGGCTTAAATATGGACACTCATTTTTAATCCATCTTGACTCTCAAATTAAGTAGTTAAAAATTACCTAACTCATTTTTGACCTATTTTAAATATGGTTTACCCAAAACTATTAAAAAGCAAAGGTATATGAGTGGATTGATGGGTTGTGACCCATTTTGCAACCCCAAATTTGCCTTAATTATTAGCTAACTCCGGGAACTAATTAAAGTAATAATTATAATAATTAGAATAATGCATACAAATGATCCATGCACAATAATATTAGAAGTACTAGTGACATTAATAGATATATAGCTAGCTTACCCAAATGTATGTGATCCATACATAATACTGTAGAACTTGTGACAATACATAGCTTACTCGAACGCATTTGATTTATGTTTTATTTGCTTACTCACACATCAATTACTACAAACAAACGTAGTTGTAGTAAAATTAAGTAGAAATT